AAGGTTTGGTCCGGAAATTGCCGTGTGGAGAGCCTCAAGAACGGAGCTCCTTGGTGGGGGCGCGGTGGGAGGTATCCGTTATTTTTTGGGGGGCCGTTGTCGCGTGGGGGGGCCGGAAGAACGGGGGGCGCGTGGGGCAAGGGTCAGGGTGCCTGACGTGGTTCGTGAGTAGTGGCGCCGGGGTGTGCTGCTGGCTCTTGAGCCTTGTTGGGCCGTCTAGCAGCACTCTGAGGACGCCTTGGAGGCGTCTTTGCAATGAGAGCGTGGTGGGGCCGCGGTGGGGGCGCGGTGACAGCGAGGAGGGAGGGGGGGTGCTGTGCGGGTGCCGGGCCGTGGTGGAGGCGTGGTGGGGCAGGGTGGAGCCTGTGGTGGGAGCGTGGCTGGGGGCGTGTGGCGATTCTGGGCGAGAAATTGTCGTGTGGGGGGGTTCTCAACAACTTGAGCTCGCGAGGGAGTCTGGATGGCGGGCGGCCGCGGTTGGGGCGTGGTGACAGCGAGGAGGGGTTGTGCGGGTGCCGGGCCGTGGTGGAGGCGTGGTGAGGGCAGGATGGTACCGTGGTGGGAGCGTGGTGGGAGGTGTTGGTCAGTTCTGGGCGTGAAATTCTCGTGTGGAGGGGCCCCAGAACCGGGCTCGCGAGGGAGTCTGGATGGCGCGGGGCCGCGGTCGCGCGCGTTGGTGACAGCGAGGAGGGGGGGGGGCTGTGCGGTTGCGGGCCGTGGTGGCGGCGTGGTGGGGGCAGGGTGGAGCCGTCGTGGGAGCGTGTTGGGGAGTGTTGGTCAATTCTGGGCGAGAAAGTGTCGTGTGGGGGGTCTCTACAATTCAGCTCGCGAGGGAATCTGGATGGCATGGGGCCGCGGTGGGGGCGTGGTGACAGCGAGGACGGGGGGAGGGTGCTGTGCGGGTGCCGGGCCGTGGTGGAGGCGTGGTGGGGGCGTGGTGGGGGTTGTTGGACAATTCTGGGCGGGAAATTGTCGTGTGTGGGTTTTGAAAACTGAGCTCGCGAGGGAGTCTGGATGGCGGGGGGCCGCGGTGGGGGCGTAGTGACAGCGAGGAGGGGGCGGGGTGCTGTGCGGGTGCCGGGCCGTGGTGGAGGCGTGGTGGGGGCGTGGTGGGGGGTGTTGGTTATTCAATCGTTTCGCTCATTCCGCCGGCCCATGGTGCATGATCGCTACTGCTTCGCCGTGGGCCCGGGGCCATTGTGGCGCCGCCGAGGAGGAAGAAGATGAGGATGGGGAAGGGGAGGGGAGGAGGAGGAGAGGATGAGAAGGAGATGAGGAGGATGAAGATAAGTAGGAGGAGGAGGAGGAAGAGGAAGGGGCGGAGGAGGAAGCCTCTCGTTGGCATCTTGTGTTGCTCTTGGGGCCAAACAGGGTCGTCGTCAAGATGCTTCTCTGGGAGGCCTCTTGGGGTCTTTTCAGAAGCCGTTCGAGGGCGCCTGGGAGGCATTTTTGAAGTCTTCTGGGGGGCCTCCTGGGGGCCTTCTGGGACCTCTTGGGGGCCTCTTGGCGGCATCTTGGGGCCTCTTTGGGGCCTCTCGGGGCCTCCTGGGGCCCTCTTGGGGCGGAAGGCTCGAGGTTTTGGTTCGTGGTCCCCCTCTTGGGCCCCTCTTGGGGCCGTCTTGGGGCCGTCTTGGGCCGTCTTGGGCGCCTCTTGGGTCGTCTCGGGGCCCTCTTGGGCCCTCTTGGGGCCCTCGTGGAAGCCTCTTGGCCCGTCTTGGGGTGCTCTTGGGGGCCTCCTGGGCCGTCTTGGAGCATCGGATGGCCGAAAAGGGGACAAGGCCCAAATTCTTTCAAAACCATCGTAAAATGTCTGATTTGGGCCTCTCAGGGCCCTCTTGTGAGGCCTCTTGGAGGCCACTTGGAGGCCTCTTGGGCCGTCTTGAGGTCATCATCGGCGTCTTGGAGCGCTCTTTAGGCGTCTCGGGGGCCCTTTGGGCAGTCTTGGGGGCCTCTTGGGGCACTCTTGGCGCGCTCTGGGGGGCCTGAGAAGCCACACCCAGGAGGAAAACCATCTCTGAGTAGCAGTGGTCGGGCGGCGGTCGGGGTACTTTTCGCCGGGGGACCCCCAGGGGCCGCCCCGCGCGCGCGAACTAGAAGTATTGTTTAGCAGTTACCGGAGATCTTAGCACGCCTTTGTGCTGTGCGGGTGCCGGGCCGTGGTGGAGGCGTGGTGGGGGCGTGGTGGGAGGTGTTGGTCAGTTCTGGGCGTGAAATTGTCGTGTGGGGGTCTACCAAACTGAGCTCGCGAGGGAGCCTGGATGGCGGGGGGGCTCGGTAGAGCGTGGTGACGAGGCGAGGAGGGGGGGAGGGTGCTGTGCGGGTGCCGGGCCGTGGTGGAGGCGTGGCGGGGGCGTGGTGGGGGGTCTTGGTCAATTCTGAGAGAGAAAGTGTCGTGTGGGGGGTCTTTAAAACTGAGCTCGCGAAGGAGTCTGGATGGCGGGGAGCCGCGGTGGGGGCGTGGTGACAGCGAAGGAGGGGGGGGTTGCTGTGCGGGTGCCGGGCCGTGGTGGAGGCGTGGTGGGGGCGTGGTGGGGGGTGTTGGTCAATTCTGAGCGAGAAGTTGTGGTGTGGGGGGTCTCTGAAACTGAACTCTCGAGGGAGTCTGGATGGCGCGGAGCCGCGGGGGGGGCGTGGTGACAGCGAGGACGGGGGGAGTGCTGTGCGGGTGCCGGGCCGTGGTGGAGGCGTGGTGGGGGCCGTGGTGGAGGCGTGGTTGGGGGTGGTGTGGGGGTGTTGGTCAATTCTGCGCGAGAAATTGTCGTGTGGGGGGTCTCTAAAACTGAGCTCGCGAGGGAGTCTGGGTGGCGCGGGGGCCGCGGTGGGGGCGTGGTGACAGCGAGGAAGGGGGGGGGCTGTGCGGGTGGGGCCGTGGTGGAGGCGTGGTGGGGGCGTTGGCTGGGGGGGGGTGTGGCGGGGGTGTTTTTGGGGGGTGGCCGGGGGGGGGGGTGGGTGGCGGGGGTTGGGGGTGTGGTCGATAGATTCTGGGCGAGAAAATTCGGGTGTGGGGGGGTTTTTAAAACTGAGCTCGCGAGGGAGTCTGGGTGGCGGGGGGCCGCTGTGGGGGCGTGGTGACAGCGAGCAGGAGGGGGGTGCTGTGCGGGTGCCGGGCCGTGGTGGAGGCGTGGCGGGGGCGTGGTGGGGGGTCTTGGTCAATTCTGAGAGAGAAAGTGTCGTGTGGGGGGTCTCTAAAACTGAGCTCGAGGGAGTCTAGATGGCGGGGGGCCGCGGTGGGGGCGTGGTGACAGCGAGGAGGGGGGGCGGGGCGCTGTGCGGGTGCCGGGCCGTGGTGGAGGCGTGGTGGGGGCGTGGTGGGGGCGTGGTGGGGGGTGTTGGTCAATTCTGGGCGAGAAATTGTGGTGTGGGGGATCTCTCAAACGGAGCTCGCGAGGGAGTCTGGATGGCGGGGGGCCGCGGTGGGGGCGTAGTGACAGCGAGCAGGGGGGGGGTGCTGTGCGGGCACCAGGCCGGTGCCCACAGGCCGACCCTTTTGGGTTGTCTTGGGCCCTCTTGGGTCTCTCTTGGGCTGTGCTCCGAGAGGGCGTTTGGGGCACTGCGAAGACGAAGCCGACGAGAATGCCGAACATGTACGTTGTACAAAGGAGATGGGCCGAATTGTGCCTCTCGAGTGCTCTTTTGGGGCCCTCACGGGCCCTCTTGGGGCGCTCTTGGGCGTCTTCGGGGCCTCTTCAGGTTTTCTTGACCACCTGTACGGCCCGCGTGGCATGTCGTGGGCAATTTGGAAGCGACCCGGGGCAGTCCTGGGGGGTTTCTGGCCCCCCAAAGGTTCCGGGAGGCGGCCATGGGGACGGCACCGATTTTGGCTCCCCCTCTTGGGCTCCTCTTGGAGCCGTCTTGGAGCTCTCCTAGGTCGTATTGGGGACCTCTTGGGGTGTCTTGGTCCCCTCTCTGGCGCCTCTTGGGCCGTTTCGGGACTCTTTGGGGGGCCTCTTGTACCGTCGTTACCGCTGTGAAGACCGACATGTCGTAGATGCTAAGAATATACGTTGTCCTATGCAAAATCAATGATTGTGGCTTCTTGGGACCCTCTTGGAAAGCCTCTTGGGAGCCTCTTGGGGCGTTTTCGCAGTCTCTTGGGCACTGTGAAAACCGTCTTGCGCGTCCAAGGGCCAGCTTTGAGCGCTCGGGGTCTGCCATGGAACGTCCCCAAGAGGCACCCGGGAGGCTCCCAAGAGGCCCCCAAGAGGCTTCCGAGAGGCCCCCAAGAGGCCCAGAGGCCCCCGAGAGGCCCCAACACGGCCCCCGAGAGGCCCCGACGCTACAGAAAACAACGTGGGAAAGGACCCAGAGAAACCATTTGCTTCATATTGAACGGTTGTCTACGGTCCAAACCATGAACACATTCATTCGCTTCGATCCCCTCTCGCTCCAGATTCGAGGCCCCAACACGGCCCCCTGACGGGCACCGAGACGGGTCCAGGAGGCCTCGGAGTTGCTTCCAGAAGGCCCCCGAGAGACTTGCCACGAGATCCGAAGGAACTGTCCAGATGTTTCCAGGACGAATCCCAGACGCCTCTAGCACAGCTCCAAGAGTGCTCCAGAGCCTCCCAAGACGGCTCCAAAACGATCCAGGATGGCCTGAAGACGGCCCACGAGGCCGCCAAGATGGTCCAAGCTGGCCCGAAGATGGGCGCAAGGATTCCCCAAGACGCTTCCACGACCCCCCCAAGCGGCTCCCAGAGGTCCAGGCGAGGCCCCCAGAGTCTTCTTGAATGGCCCCGAGCCTGCGGAAGACCTCACATGATTGAAGAACTCGCCTGTTCATTGCCGATGGGCTTCGGAGGACTTTGGATGGCCCCCAAACACCCGGAACGGTCCCAAGCAAATCGAATGAAATTCGTGCCTGAGTAAGACCGGGGGACGACAAACAAACCCCCACGACGACAAAGGGTCGGCGGATTCATCGTCGTCGTCGTCGTCGTCTTCCTCCTCCTCCTCCTCCTCGTCACCTCTGCCCTACGACCTCTCCGCTCGCGCCGCAGGAGCGGCTCCGCCTCGGTGCCGCGGAGGAGTGCCTGGACAGCGCGCAAGGCGACCAAGGGGAGGAGGAGGAGGAGGAGGAGGAGGAGGAGGAGGAGGAGGAGGAGCAGGAGCAGGAGCAGGAGCAGGAGTAGGAGGAGGAGTAGGAGGAGGAGTAGGAGGAGGACGAGGAGAAGGACGAGGACGAGGAGGAGGAGGAGGAGGAGGAGGAGGAGGAGAAGGAGGAGGAGGAGGAGGAGAGGAGGAGGAGGAGGAGGAGGAGGACGAGGAGGAGGACGAGGAGGAGGAGGAGGAGGTACAGAGTAGAGAGGGACGAGGAAGGAGGGATGAGGAGGAAGGAGGCAGGAAGGCGGAAGAAGGGAGGTATCCGCCTGCTCCTTCTGCTGCTCCCCATCCCGTTCCTCTCCCGCGTCCCGCTCCCCCTCTCCCCTGCTCCAGCTGCTGGTTCTGATCTTGCCTCTTCCGCCTCTTCTCCTCCCTCCTTTACACCTCGCCGGAATGTTGGCACACGGGTGTTGAATTCCGGCAGCCCGGATCAGGTTAAGAGGAGGAGGAGGAGGAGGAGCAGGAGCAGGAGCAGGAGCAGGAGCAGGAGCAGGAGGCGGAAGCAGACGAGGTGGAGCAGGAGTTGGCGAGGGAGGGCGAGAAGGGGGAGGGGGAAGCCACCCCGTCCCTTCCACTTCCATTCCCGTTCCGCCTCCTTGTCCTTCCCTCCAACTTCCATCCCATCCCCCTGGCCCTCCCCTCCCTCCCCTGCCTCCTCTCCCGCCCATGCCCCCCTGCCACACTTTCGTTGAACAGAACAAATCGCACTCCGCCTGAGCACTCAGAAGGTTCCGACGACAGTGCGAACTCGGGGATCGCCGATTGCTTCGACGAGGCCTGGAGAGACGCGCAGAAGGTGCACATCACTGCCCCATCTTTGTCATCCTGCTGCTCCTCCTCATCATCGTCCTCATCCTCATCCTTCTCCTACTCTTGTATCTGTGAGCGAATGAAGGTTGGTAGGGAAAATTGTGAGCACTTCGCATGTCACTTTGGTGCGTGTGCAGCAGTCTCACGCCTTGTGGGCGTCTCCTTTTCGTCGTCGTCCGAGCGTCGTCCTTGCTTGTCTCGTCTCGTCCCCTACGTCTTCGTTCCTCCAGTCCCATGCGGCGCATGCCGTGTTACTGTATTGGAGAGGCCTCAACGGCCAGTGCCGCCGACCCTGAACGACGACGACGACGGCGGCGACGACGACACCGGCGGCGGCGGCGGCGAAGACGACTACGACGACGACGACGACGACGACGACGACGACGACGACGACGACGACGACGACGACGATGACGAGCGCTCTCGGGGGCCTCTTTGGGATAGTTTTGGGGCCTCTTGGGGGTCTCTTGGGCGCCTCTTGGGGGTAGTCTTGGGGCCTCCTGGGAGTTTCTTGGGGGCCTCTTGTGGGAGCCTTGTGGGGGCCTCTCGGGGCTTCCTGGGGGCTCCTTGGGGGCCTCTTGGGGCCTCGTGGGGGGCTCCTTGGGGGCACCTGGGGGCTTCCTGGGAGCCTGTCGGGCCGAGGGCTCGAAGCGTCCGCTCGGGTCCCCCCTCTGGGCTCCCTCTTGGAGCCGTCTTAGGTGGGGGCCTTTTGGGCTGTCTTGGAGGCCTCTTGGGCGGTCTTGGAGCGCGTGCTTCGAGTGCTTCGTGTGGCGTTTGGCCACACCTCTGTGCTTCGAGCGTTTCGAGTGACGTTTGGTCACTTGTATTTTTCCTGCCAACGACTCCACCTGGACGCAAGGCTTCTGTCTGTCTGTCTGGAGGCCTCTTGGGCGGTCTTGGGGTCCTCTTGGGTCGTTTTGGGGCCCTCTCGGGGGCCTCTTGGGCGATCCTGGGGCCTTCTGGGCTGTCTTGGAGCGTCAGGAAGCCGACCAGGCGAGAACGCTAAGCTCTTTCAAAAACTTGAGGAACATCTGTGATTGCTCTTGGGGGCTTCTTGGGACCTCTCGAGCCGCCTGGAGGCTACTTTGGCGTCTTGGACCGATCATTCGGCGATCTGGGGCCCTCGAGGACCGTCTTGGGGGCCTCTTAAGGGCATCCTGGCTGCGTCTTGGGGCTTCTCTGGGCCCCAGACTTAAGACGGGGGTCAATTCAAACGGGGGTCAGCCAGGGCACCGGATCCTGCAGGATCCTGCAGAGACCCCCTCTGGCTGACCTGGGTTAGCGTGCCGCTCGTGGCCGCGAGGCGGCCGCGCATATTGGCTGACCCGGGTTTGCGAAGACCTGCATTGCAGTTGTTTTTCCCTGCATTGCAGTTTTTGGTTTCCTGCTGACCCGGGTCTGGATTGACCCGGGTCAGAAGATCCCCGAAGGGATCAAGGGGAAGGGGCTTCCTTACGACGTTGCTCAATGTTGGTTTGGCTGGCGCGCTTCAGGAGGAGGGCCCATGGAAAGGAGACAGGGGGCGACGGAGACCACAATTCACGGAGACGACGAGGAGACGACGGAGACAGAGACGACGACGGAGACGACGACGGAGACGACGAGAAGACGACGTAGGCGATGCGATGACGACGACGGCGACCAACGAAAGAGCGTCTTCCACACGCCGACAGGATCGGCGGATTCCCCTTGAGCCCGTTTCTTTTATTGCTTGGGGCATGACGGGCGTCATGGCCCCCGCTCCCCCCCCCCTCCTATGACGTAACGCTTCCCCCCCCAGTGCGCTCCGGGCACTGCCGCCGTGCGCATTGGGATCCGCGCGGGTGTCCGCGTAGGAATCCGCATAGGTGTCTGGTCCGCAGGCGTCGTCGTCGTCGTCGTCGTCGTCGTCGTCGTCGTCCGTCGTCGTCGCTCGTGGTTTGTCGCTCGTCGCTCATCGTCGTCGTGCGCGCGGACGCGGCTGGAGCCTGTTTTTGAATCTGGGCCGATGACGGCAATCATTTGGGGGGGAGGGGGTCGATGACGTCACGTTTCGCGCCGGCGGCGTCTGGGAATGCTTAGGAATGACGGACGACGGGTAGCACGAACATGTAGGTGGCGATATGCACCACTACGCCAGTGTACATCACAGTGCCCGCGTGCACCACAGCGCCTGTGTACACCACACCGCCGATGTACACCACAGCAGCCGCGTGCAACACAGCGTCAGTTTGTGCCACCGCGCCTGCGGGCACAGCAGCTCCTGTGTACACCACAGCGCCCCCGTACACCACATCAGCCGTGCGCAACACAGCACCAGTGTACACCACAATGCCTGCGTGCATTGCAGTGCCTGTGTACGCCACGGCGCGCGTGTGCACCACATCAGCCGTGTGCAACACAGCACCACTGTTGTGTATAGAATTTCTCAAGGAATCCTTGTGACGCGCGTGGATTCCAGAGAAAACCATGGAAAACAAATCTTCATGGACGAAGGAGCGCCGCTGGAATCTACGAGTCCCCCCGAGTCCGCCCGCATCACCCTAACTCCCACTTGCGTCCAGGAGGCTCCAGCTAAAGTGGCCGTCCGAGAAAAAAGTGGACCGATTCAATCGACCATTCTGCGGTGCACGCTGGGATGCGCACGTGCGTTGTAACGCCAAGCCGCACGACAGGGGGTAAGAAGGAGGAGAAGGAGGAGGAGGAGGAGGAGGAGGAGGAGGAGGAGGAGGAGGAGGAGGAGGAGCATGTGGAGGATGAGGAGGTGGAGGAGGAGGGAGGAGGGAAAAACGTCGCATTCGATTATCAGAATTTTCGTCGCGTGGCGTTTAGTTGTCCGCAGCAGATCCTGACGTACATGCTCCTTCTACCTGTCCTATGCACGCAGGCACTGTGGTGTACACCAGCGCTGCGTTGCACGCGGATGCTGTGGTGTAGACAGGCGCTGTGGCGTGCACAGGCGCCGCGGCGCACGCAAGCACAGTGGTGTACACAGACGTTGTGTTGCACATGGCTGCTGCGGCGTATGTACACCAGCGCTGTAGTGCTCCCAAGTATTGTGGCATACGCGGGCGGTGCGTTGCACACGGCTGTTGCGGTGTTGTTGCGTTGTGGTGCACACGCGCGGTGTGGTGCACGCGAGCGTTGTGGTGCACGCAGGCGCAATGGGCAGATCGCCACTTACATGCTGCTCGCGTCGTCGTCGTCGCTCGTCGCTCGTCGCTCGTCGCGTCGTGCGCGCGGGCGCGGCTGTGGTGCCGGAGCCACACGGCGGGGGGGGGGCGTCACGTCATACCCCCCCCCGCCCCCCCCCCCCCATGACGCCCGTCATCGCCGAACATAGAGAAACGCGCTCCTTGCGCTTGCAGCTTTCGCCAACAGAGTCTTTTCAGCTTCCTCGTGGATGCGCTATGGGCCAGACTGTCATAAGTGCCCCGACAGCTCGGACATCCATAGCGGCCCCGCGCGGGAGCCGACAAGGGCCACACCAGGCCAAATGCAGTCTTGGTTCCTCAGGCGTGCTCATCGCGCATCCTTGTAGTCGCCAGCCGCGCCTGAAGTTTTTGTTGTAGATCTAGCGTGTTTTCTCAGGACCCGTTCCAGCTGCCCAGGCATCGCTCGCTCGCTCGCTCCCATCACTTTCCCATGTACCTCTCCGCGTTATCCTCCCTCTCCCCTTTTCCCCTTCTCCGCGTCCAGCTCGTCCGCCTTTTCCTCCTTCATCACGAAAGTGCGCCACTGGATCTCCCTGAATACACTAAAGGGGGGGGGTCCAGAACCCCCCCCCCTTCCCCCCTTCAAGGGGGGGGGGTCCGGAACCGCCCCCCCCCCCTCCCCCCCTTAAGGTGGGGCGGGGGTCCCGAACCCCTCCCCCTCCCCCCCTTGGCGCTGGAAAGGGGGGGGGGGTCGGACCCCCTAGGGAGTACGGGGTTGGGAGTAGGGAGTAGGGAGTAGTGAGCAGTGAGTTAGTGCGTAATGAGTAGTGAGCGAGTGGGGAGTAGGGAGTAGGGAGCAGGGAGTAGGGAGTAGTGAATAGTGAATAGTGAGTAGTGCGTACTGATAAGTGAGTAGTGAGTGGCGAGTAGTGAGTAGTGAGTAGCGAGTAGCGAGTAGTGAGTACTGAGTAGGGAGTGGGGAGTAATGAATAGTGGGTACTGAGTTAGTGCGTAGTGAGTAGTGGGTGGCGAGTAGTGATAAATGAGTAGTGAGTAGTGGGTAGTGCGTAGTGCGTAGTGCGTAGTGAGTAAGTAGTGAGTAGTGAGTAGTGAGTAGTGAGTAGTGCGTAGTGAGTAGCGAGTAGCGAGTAGTGAGTAGTGAGTAGTGAGTAGTGAGTATTGAATGGTACGTAGTGCGTAGTGAGTAGTGAGTAGTGATGAATAGAGAGTAGTGGGTAGTGAGTAGTGAGTAGCGAGTAGGGAGTAGCGAGTAGTGAGTAGTGAGGAGCGATTAGGGCGTACTGAGTAATGGATAGTGAGTAGAGAGTAGTCAGTAGTGCGTGGTGGGTAGTGATTAGTGAGTAACGAGTAGGGAGTAGCGAGTAGTGGGTAGTGAGTAGGGAGTAGGGAGTAGGGAGCAGTGGGTAGCAAGAAGTGGGTAGCGAATAGTGGGTAGTGAGTAGCGATTGGTGAGTCGTGGGTAGTGGGTAGTGAGTAGTTACTAGTGACTAGTGACTAGTGAGTTGTGACTACTGACGAGAGACTATGTAGTGACTAGTGAGTAGGGAGTAGTAAGTAGTGAGTAGTGAAAAGTGAGTAGCGGGGAGTGAGTAGTGAGTATTGAGTAGCGAGTATGGGAGTAGCGAGTAGTGAGTACTGAGTACTGTGTAGTCAGTATGGTGTAGGGAGTAGGGAGTAGTGAGCAGTGAGTAGTGGGTAGTGAGTAGTGATCTGTGGGCAATGAGTAGTTAGTAGTGAGTAGTGGATAGTGGGTACTGGGTAATGAGTAGTGATTAGTGAGTAGTGAGTAGGGAGTAGTGAGTAGTGCTTAGTGAGTAGTGAGTATTGAGTA